TTTTGTTCCGGTTATTAGACTAGCTTTACTATGTGATGCGCACAATCAAATATAGACTAGTTTGCTCAAATTGGAACAATTCAACTTCATGTTTGTTTTGCGAAAAGGGTTTGAATTTGCCACCAAACATTGCGGACTTAAAGCTGATTTGCCACTCAACAAAGTGGGCTTAAAACGTACATTTATTGAATCGTTCTAATTCAAGCAACAAGCCTTGATCCACAGGCATTCAAGCAATTTAACAAGTAAGCATTTAGCCTCATGGCAAGCATGCTAGTCATAGCAATCACTCACACTGTGATAACCTTGCTTCATATTATGCTAATTAATCTTAATTACGAATGTGATTATATGTTTGATATGATTTTGAGTGCCATTTATATGAATATATGTGGTTTTGAATTTCAATCTGTTCACCGCAGGAAAATCTGTTTGATTATCTACTTTAGAATTTAAATTGAAGGCCTTATCGGCCACAGAAACCGAAATTGACTACGCCATTGTGATTAGCGTAATTTTTAGAGCCTACGGTGAAATTTAATTGAAAATTGATTCGGATCAAATTAAATAGATTAAATAAATGAAATAGTGCTTGATTAATTAGTATTAATGGAATTTGATTAAGAGGGGCTATATAAGGGCCATTATACACCCACATTTCTTAATTTTTGAGCTCAAAATCAGATTTTACACTCTAAAGAGGGAGAGGGTCGGCTCTAGAGAGAGAAAGAGGGAGAATTGTGCAATCTTGGCACAAGGCTTAAGAATTGGAAGTTAAACGCAAAGAACTTGAGTGTTTGAAGCTCCTAGGTGAGTAAATTCATGGATTTTAGTTTGTAACTTTGTGAATTCAAAGTTGAATGGTGATCAAGAACATGAATTGAATTCATTATGACGAAATTGAGTTGGTTTTGATGAATTGGAAGTCAATGTACACATGCATGTGCATAATTGCCATAAATTTGTGTAATTGAGCATAAATTACATGATCCATGTTGAATTTTGATCAAAGTTCATGCTTTTGATCATCCTTGCCACCATCAAAGTTAAGAATGGAAGTTACATTCCACATGCAAGCACAATCCATGAAGGTGTAAGCTTTAGTTGCATGAAATTGAAGTGTTGATGATGGGTTTGATATGAATCATGTGTACTACAATAATAGTTAAAGATCACACTTTGACAAAAAAAAAAATTTCACTTTTATTGGAAGTGTGATAAAAAAATTAGATTGATATTTTAATCACACTTAATTTGATTAAGTGTGATAATATTTATTTTTTATGTTATATTTTTTAATCACACATTCTAATTAAAGTGTGATTATTTATATATTTTTTAATCACACTTTTTAATTAAAGTGTGATTATATATACATTATTAATTTTTAATCACACTTTTTAAATGAGTGTGATTATATATATATTTTTTAATCACACATTCTAATTAAAGTGTGATTATATATACATTATTACTTTTTAATCACACTTTTTAAATAAGTGTGATTGTATAAAATATTCCAATTTGATTTTTAGATAAAATATACAATTCCTAATTTTTTTTTTAAAAAAAAAGCCCCAACAACAAAACACAAATTAAAAAAAAATCATAAATAATAAAACTTTTTATGACGTGCATATAGCATACCATTAATATATTAACTATACACGATACACGTACCCCAACTATTAAAAATATTAAATATTTAACGACACACAAAAAATTAATCGTTAAAAATTATATACTTTTCGCTACACATAATAAATCAATCGTTCAAAATATTACATTTTTCACAATACACATCATGAAAGGTGCTACTAAAAAAAAAAAGGAGCTAAATAAAAATTAATTAGCGCCAAAACTGAAAAATATGAAACTTTCAGCCAAAAATATTCAAATTAAAAATTAAAAATTATTGGTTTGTATTTGAGAAACATGTTTTGAGTTAAAAAGTACGAAAATTTATTTGGTTTGGTTTTTTTTCAAAAGATGTTTTCAAAAATTATTTTGAGAGAGAGTTTTGGAAAAAGTGATTGATTTGATGTGTATGAGAGAGAGATTTGTTTGGAAAACTTGTAAACCAAACAAGTTTTGAAAAATTTTTTTGGAAAAAGTTGTTTGGTTTGATTACTTTTAAAAACTTATTTGTAGAAAAATTTTTCCAAAATTTTTTGAGAAACCAAACAAGGCGTAAGAAATTTTCATCTCTTTCTATAGACTCTCTCTCTCCATCTTCATCCCGCATCACCACCGACATCCTTTGCTCTCCTACCCTAAACCTTTCTCTCACTCACGCTCACTGATTGACCTTTCTCTCCCTCTTCTCCAACCCTCTTTACCGACCTCATAGCTAGCGCACACTAATAGCCGCTTCGGTTGCCCCTGGTGAGTGGAAAAAGAGGGAAGGGAGAGAGTGATGAAAGTGGGGGAGAGACTCTCCCCTTGTTTTCACAAACAGTCTCCTCTCTCTCTCTCTGTCCATCATTCCCCAGGTATTTATTCCCTCAAATTTTCTTCATATTTATTAGCTTTAGATTGCTTGAGATTTGTTGAAATTTCCTTTTTTTTTCTAAAAAAAAAAAAAAAAAAATCACTTGATTGCTTATGTTAATTGCTTCAGATTTCTTGATTTATAGCATAATTTATGTTTTGAAATTTCTGTTCAAAATTGGTGAAACAATTTCTGTTTTTTTAAAAAAATTATTTTAAACAATCTGTTTCTGTAAACAAATTTTTGCTTTATATCTGTATCCTTTTGTTTTTGTTTTTTTAATGGATTTAAAACTAATATGGGTGAGAGTATTTTGGTATTTTTGATGGTTTCTTATTAATTTTGATGGGTTTATGATTAATTTTGATTGGTTTAATTGACATAAATCCTTTTAAACTCTAGATTTATTTTTAGTGGGTTTATGATTTTTTGTGCTAGTTTTGAATGCTGAGTTCAATCTTTTATATTGGCCATTTTGGTATTCTGTTTTCTAGATGTCAACTCTTTACAATCTAAGATATTCAAGAGCAAACAATGAAATATTTAACAGGACTTTTGAGAGCTTTAAGTGGGTCACGGTCCCTTTTCCACCCCCGGTTCTGCCTTTGTACATGTTACTGCTAGAAAAGGAGAGTTGGAGAGACAGAGAGGCCTCCATATATGTCAAAATTAGTGAAAGATAAGATGTGTTTGCCTTAAGGCATCAGTAGAGGGGCTATTTATAGATATTTTCACTTTTGGCTTTGGCTGATAAAATGGTGACACCTGTTTTATGTTTGTTAAAGTGCTGTAATCTTTTCCCCATCTGGCATCCCCTTGGTGCCTTCCAGTCACTAGCATTACCCTCTTATTCCCCCTAGATGATTAGCTCCTTGAAGCCCCTAGATTGATCCCACAACATAACATGAAAACGGCTTCCTAGTGCTCACACCTACCTCTTTGATGGACCGTATTAATAAAATTGTCAATTTGCCTAAGGTTCCATTTCATCTTTTGGACGAATTTGCATCACTAGTCTAGGTGATCATCTGTTGGCTGTGATAGAACCTGTTATAAGTAGTTGCCTTGTTAAGGTAATGTCTGTGGGTCTTAGTATTAAATTATTTCTTAAATGAATGCACTTTGTTTTGATCATATTAGATGATATGATACCTGGTTATGAGCAACCAATTATTTTGGAATTCTGGTGCTGTAATAAACTTTAGTTTATTGTTTGTGTGTTTGGGCATCCCTGCTGGTTCTTCTACATGTTCGAATGCAAAAGATTTTGAGGGACCCTCTTTTGAATTGTCTAGGCATGGTGCACTACCTCTTAGTGCAGTCCGGATCTTTGGATCCCTTTTGGTGTATATTTTCTTTGGATGGGTGCTATATTTGTGTTTTGTAGTTATTGCACCTTCTCTGGTCTTAGTCTCAAAATTGGCAAAAAAATTCAGGGTTTTGCTAGAAGTCATCTATAGCTTACACAACAAACATGGATAAATATAGTCATTTGGCAATTCATATACATATCACACAGAGAAAATTATGTTTGCTGTGTCATATTCACTCATCTAAATTTTAAAGTAATTATTTTTAAAATTTTTAAAAGAATTACAATTGAGACAAAGCCCGATATGACTTCTAATTTTAACATTTTTTCTTATTAGATAGATAAAGACATTATCAACCATGTCAACTCCACCAGCCTTGGTTGCCCATAATAACAATTGATTTTTGTTTGGAAGTATATACATGAAGACTTGGTTTTTGTTCAAAAATTGATAGAAATTGATATCCGAATGAAAAGCACCAAAATTTTATAGAAACCATTGAATTCTCAATTTCTTTTCTTTTTGAAATTGCGAAAGAATCTTCTATATTCATTCTCAGTAGCCCGACACCCTTAGGTATGACTCTTTTCTTCAATAGACGACTACATGGATTTGTAATTAGAAAAAAAACGAAAAAAAAAACTACCTTTTGTTTGGTCCTCTACTATATTAGTTTATATTGAATATTTTTGTCTAATATACGTTAATGCATTGCAAATTATGGTTAAAAAAATGTAACCATAGTTGACATTATTTGTCTAAATTTTTGTACATAATATTTGTAACCCTGTCCATCCCTGCTCATAGGGGTTGTCGTTTGAACTTTGAACTTAAGAGTTACAATGGCTGCTGCTGCAACATTTGGTGCTACAAACACTACCACCACTACTGCCGCCAACAAAGAGTACGATTATTATCGTTCCTTTAATCATGAGAAGAGCTCATGCTCATTGCTCACACCACGTAGACATCATCACAACTCTCCTCTTCGTAGTCGTTTATTTCCTCATCGTAAATTAACACCTATGACATCTTCTTCATTGGCCATCCCAGGTGAATAGTTTTAATTTTAGGTTTATTTTTCTTTTTAAATTTAATATGAAAACTATTTGTGTGTTAATCATGTCTATCTAATTTATTTATTTTTAGGCTTTTGGCCTAATGTTGGAGTGGGTGTGAGCAGTGAAGATGATCTTTGTCGTTCGCATGCACAACAGCTGTTCGACATTTGACGGGATCTCTTACTGCAACTGAGGGCCTTCGCTTTGCTGTGGTCAGTCTATTTATTTTTTATGTCCACCCCTCTCTTGTTATTTAGCATTTGTTTGAATGAGCATATGGGATTTATTCAATTTCATCAATGAATGCTTCACTTTGTGCTTATATGCATATATTTTATGCATAATGTACTATGAAATTCTATTTCTAGCTGTGCATTCATGTTTTTCAGTTCTATGTTGGTCGCATTTCCACATTTTCCCTGAACATTCAAATATATTCCAATTTCTGGCCATGTAACAATGTGTTCTACTTTGTCTCTTCATATTAATGCTCTCATTTCGTTGCAATTAGTGGTTATGCCTTAACAAAATTTTCCAACCTTTTCATTCACAACACCTCTCTCTCCCCTACGAATGACTCTTTTGAAAAATGACTCTTTTAAAATTATGTAGTTTTTATTTATTTACTTTTTGCTCCAAAAAAAAAAAAAAGAAGAAAAAAACAAGAGGTAAATTGCAACTTGAGTTGATGATTAAGTGATCTAGGTAATGTTGGTTCAATTAAATATTTGCAGTAGTTCAATTTATATTCTATTTTGATGTGTATCCCTTTGATGTTTCTATTAATTTGTTTCCGTTGCAAAGGTTATGGCACGGTTTAATGAGATTGTGGCGAAGCTGCTTTTGGAGGGAGCTTTGGACACGTTCAAGAGATATTCAGTTAAAGAAGAAGACATTGATGTATGTAGTTATCTGGAACCCTTTCAAAAGTTGGCTACTTTTTTTTCCCTCTTATTGTGTTCCTTTGTTGGTAGATTTGTTCACCTAGATTTCCATCTCTACTGGAATAGGTAACAGATGCCTAACCTGCATATCTTGAATGTGTGAAGGGTATAATATCACTGGATTTCTGATCCATGACTTGATTTTCTATATTATAAGTGAAAATGTTGTCTCATTTGGAGTGCTTGATTGATGGGGTGATTTTGATGCCTGACTAGCTCCATATTTGTCATACATGACTATTTTTCCTCGATGTGCTGAATTTCTTGTCCTGGGGCTTGTCAGATCTGCCTGTGCATCTGATGGCAAAGAATCACCACCTTTTGGATAGGTTATAACCAAAAGTACTTTGATTAGTCAGGGATTCACCTTAATGAATTGCTAAATTGAATGTCATGCGGAAAAAGTGAACATTTGCTTTGGTAAAACAAACCTGGTCTGACATGATTTAGAATATTTTCAGATCACTATCATGTTAAAACATGAGTTGTCTATTATTTATTGGGGTGGAATTGTTGGTGCTGATGTGGATAAATGTAGCACAAATCATGTAATGCTTTCATCATTCCAATTGTTTTACATGGTCTGTGGTCATTGTTTTGCTTGAACACTCATTAATAATAGGTTCAATTATTGGATGTATGTATCAGGCAGTGTGGGTTCCTGGTAGTTTTGAAATTGGTGTCGTTGCAGAAAAGCTTTTGAAGTCTCACAAATATCAAGCCATATTGTGCATTGGAGTTGTGGTCACAAGTTTTTCTTTTTAAGGTTGCCATGGGAGGGTTTTTTGGTACACGGCTTCATGTCAACACTCGTGTCTGGAGTTTAAAAAGTCTCTCTTCAGTTCTCTCCCTAGAAGCTCACCTATCCTAGAAAAATAGTTTGGATTCTGGTTACTAGATTTATTTCTTTTGTAACAAATATAAGAAATTTAATAACGTCCAACTCTTAAATAATATTGATCCAGGCTTTGTTCAGATTGATTGAGCCTGTAGACGGCAGAATTATTTTAGACAATATTGATATTTCAACAATTGGTCTTCATGACCCCCGTAGCCATCTAAGTGTCATACCCCAAGATCCAAACTTATTTGAAGGGACCATTAGGGGCAACCTTGATCCCCTCCACGAGCACTCAGATCAAGAAATTTGGCAGGTCAAACTCAACTGCTTACCTTTTTTGTCTTCATTTTTCTAAGTTTTGAAAAAGAAAATCTTAAACTATAACAGTTCGACCAAGTGAAGTCCATAAAATAAACTGTTAGAAGAAATATCCCAGATATTATGGATAGCCACAACTATTTTAAATTGTTCTGAAATCACAAGTGATCCCATTTTTTGTAATATGAATTCCTTAGTTCCTTCTATAAATTCTTTCCAAAAATTTGTTGTTAAAGTTTGGCTTTCCAGTGTTTATTCCCAAACTTTTTTGCGAGTTTAATGTATGGGCATGTTATGATTACCAGAAAGACTCACCTTCTTAGTGATCCTATTTTGATTTGGAACAGGCACTTGAGAAGTCTCAGCTAGGGGATTTTGTTTGCCGGAAAGAGAAAAAGCTAGATACACCAGGTATTTGCACTAAATATTTGAGCATTAAATTTAAGCTCTATTATTAATATTACATCTAGAAGCTTTCCTTTTGGCATTTGTCTAAGACCAGTTGATAAATTGTATTTGTCTGAAATTCATAGTTCTAGAGAATGGAGATAATTGGAGTGTGGGCAGCAGCAACTTGTTTCCCTGGGCCGGGCTTTACTAAAACAGGCAAGAATTTTGGTTCTTGATGAAGCCACTGCTTCAATTGATTCAACTACAGATAATCTAATCCAGAAGATCATCCGAACAGAGCTTAGGGACTGCACTGTGTGCACTATTGCTCATCGTATCCCAACTGTTATTGACAGTGATCTAGTTCTGGTCCTCTGTGACGGTGCGTACACTAATACTTCCCATTTCTTCTTCCTTTTAGTGGACATAAGTGTTGCTACAATCTGCAGAACTTTTTCCTAAGAATTTTAGTATAATCTGCTTTTGGTAATGTTATTAATATTCACGAGTATCCAAAAATTTGTCATTTCTTTTTCTTTTAAACTTTTGACAAGATAAATTAAGTTAGTAAAAGGCTCTAGAAGAGAAAGTTGCCCTTGTAGATTTGTAGGAACAATATCAGCACCCACAACTCTTTAGATATCTTTCTTTTTCACTAGTAACACCAACTAAGCACAATGCGTTTGCATTGAATCAAATTTTCCAAGATTCATCAATTTTTTTTGATGTTCATGAAATGATGAAAACTCAAGGAGATTATGGTATACAAGAGTACATATCTAATCTTGATCCTCAGGATATGCAGGTGAATATGTATCTTGATTAAGAGTTAACTTTTAGAATGTAAATAAGGGTTTGAGAGTGTTGTTGGTCTTCGAAGTCAAAGTCTTAGGTTTGATATTTTACACTGTAAAAATATTAGTGAGTTTTGCTTCTCATTTCTCAACTTGAGTGTGATGGTATGGCAAGTATTATCTAAAAATGATTTTCTCTCTTTTGCTCACGGTAATTGCTGGAAGCTGAATGAAGGCTGTCGCTTCTTGATCCTCTTGTGACTTGTCCCATCAAATTTATTAACATAATGTTTCTACAACTCCAAGGTTGTTTGTACGGTTGATCTTTATTTTTATTTTCAGAGGAGTGTGGTTGCTTTGTATTGTTGTTTTGAAATTATTGTGGGTTTGCGCAATCCATATGTTGACATGATTTTGGCTGATGGCATCACACTCCTTGGCAATGATCTTCAGGTAGCTTTACTTGTTTACAACTAATTGCCTTCAAAGTGATTGGTTGATTAGGTTACTGGAATTTTTAGTTTAAATGATTATATGAGGAACATCATCTTCAAGCATTATGCCCATAATTTTAGTCGTGTGTTATGGCTCATTATAAATTCATTTTTCAATGGTTTTGGAATTTTTATTTCTTTTTAGAAACTAGAATTATCTCTTAACTTGGTTAAATGGCATTTGAATATTCGTTTTCTTGGCAGGTGGATCCCCAAGATATTGTTATGGTATGTGGATATATTTAGATACTCTGAACCTGCTACAAATCATAAAACACAAAATGATTTATATAATTACATTGTTCTGAAAATTTTGTCATGTAGGATATGGCCAAAGTTCCTCTCGCTTACATCTTTGCTGCCTTTATTCCAGTTGTAATGATAGCAGGGCTTTACTTCTTTGACCACAGTGTTGCTTCACAGAAGGCGCAACAAAAGTTCAATCTCAAGAATCCTTCTGCTTACCATTATGACATCGTCTTGTTGGGATTCATGGTATATACAATTGGACTTCTCCTATTCCTGGCAGTTGTTCTTATCTGCTTTGCTTTACCTAGAGCTTATGTTCTCTTCTAATTTATGTGTTATCAGACTTTGCTTTGTGGACTAATTAGACTTCCTCCTTCAAATGGGGTCATCCTAAAGTCTCCGATGTACACCAAGAGCCTAGTTGTTCTCAAACAGAAGGTAGACGTAAAAAATTAAAAAAAAATGGAGGAATTACTTACTTATACCATAATCTGCTTTTAGGTTCGGATGTTGAACTTGTTCTCTCGTGTTTTTGGGATGTTGAATTGTGCATTTTGTCTATATGGGCTCGTTTGTTTTGGGTTATGTAGATGGAAGGGGATTAGGATGGTGGATGTATTATTTAGTGTTGTGTTTGTTTGTAGAGTTGGGGAGGGGATTAGGATGGTGGAGGTGATATAGATGGAGGTTGGGGAGGGGATTGAGATGGAGGAGGTGGAGATGGTATTAGAAAAATAGTGAGGGGATTAGAAATTTTTTATTTATTTTTATTTTTTGTATATTGGGAATTTTTTTATAAACATTAATCTTTAATTATTATTTTATATAAAAATAATTTAACAATTCCTACACTGACAACTATTATCAAAACAAACACAATTTTACTTAATCCCCTCACTATTAATTCCTTCACTAACAATCCCCTCACTATGAATCCCCTCCATTCTACCTCTAAAAATAAACGGGGCATGTCTTAAGTTTTCCTTATCTGGCATATGCTTGTCGGCATTTAGGTTTATCCATATGCAAAACCTTTAGGATCAGCATTAATTACTCAATTGTTGTGGTAATTAATTCTTGAAGCGTTAGAAAGAATGCTGGAATCCTGAGAGTTTATTTTCCTTCCCTGTATTTCACTATTTCTTTGCCATAGTATTCCCGGAATTAGCACATAGATTCCTCCTAAAAAAAAAATCTGATTTCTGGGTTATTTTTGAACCTATTACAGCTATGGAGAAGCCTATGATAAGATTCAATATCAATCAAGTGAGCAATTACAGCTATGGAGAAGCTGAGGCATTGACTGATGATATTGAAGAAAAGAGTCATATTTTTTGGGAGGTCTTCAGGATCAAAAAGATTATTGATAATTGTCAAGATGAGGTTTATCTTCATAACTTCTATTGAATCTTTCTGTTTTATGTGAATTTAATTTTCATTTCTGCATTTTGTTGCTTTTTAAAGTTTTTTTTTGGTAAGAACTTTTACTGATAAATGGGAGATTAAGCAGAAATTCTCTGTTACATTCTGATCCCAGAGTGTGCAACTCATCAATGAACAGAATAATGGCCCTTTTGCTTTGCTTAACTTCATCAACCAGTAAAATGCTGAATAGAACCAAATAGAATCAAGTGAAGTAATGGGGAAAAGAAGGAAAACATCACATCAATTTGAAACGGCAAAATCCAGAGGAAGGAAAATTCTGATAGATAGTGTTCAGATTTACATCTCTTGAAAATGCTTTTGTCACTTCCCATCTCTTGGTTCAAAAACTTATTTTCATTGCTTCTATCTGTTGCGGTGAGGAACATTTTGAACATGTGTTTGAAGGGGTATCTAATAGTTCTCAATGAAGATCTGGAAGGACAAATTAAGGGTCTATATGAAAAGTGAGTGTCATTTCATCCTTATGTTTTATATTGCAAATATTTGATCATGAATTGCCATTGTAATTATAACATATACATTTTAATCATGATAGAATTTAAACATATTTAGTTGCATTTTCAATTGTTTGACTTGTATTATCGAAGTGATTGAGCAGTTGCTCTTTGAAATTCTAGATGTACTCTTCATTATGTTGGGACCTAGTAGCATTAGCAATGATTAATTCCTAAAAATGAAGTGGTTATATATATTTTTCCTTCTGACTCTTTCCTTGAGCTATGTTATACGATTCTTTAGATTTATTTCATTTTCATAACATATTTTTTGATTTTAGCGGTTTTTGAATTAATTTGTGTTTTTATTTTTCAGGTTAGAAATTTCCTGGAGAGATGCAAAATATGGTTAAAGAATTCAAGAATTTAGTTTTTTTAAGTTTTTTTCATTTTTTAATATATGTAATTATAGTTAAAAACTTTTTATTAATTCATTTGTATATACTTTTGAACATTTAACTTTCATTTATGAAATATATGACGTTATTCTATTCAATATATGGTTGTGATTTAAAATATAGTATATATTGTGTATTACATTCTTCAAATGCGCGTACAAAAATAATATTGATTATTCTTCAAATATGTCGAATTTTTTTTTAATCACAGGTTTTATTAGTTATTTATCACTTAAAAGATGTGATCTAAATATTATTAATCACACTTAAAAGATGTGGTCTAAATGTTTTTAATCACACTTAAAAGATGTAGTCTAAATGTTTTTAATCACACTTAAAAGATGTGATCTAAATATTATTAATCACACATAAAAGATGTGATGAATAATTTTTTAATGACACTTAAAAAGTGTGATTAAAAATATCATTTTTAATCACTCTCAAAGATCACACTTCAATAAAATTTAAAAAGTGTGATTAAAAAACATACATCACACAAAAAAAGTGTGATCTTTATCTATTTTTGTAGTAGTGGCGCACGTAATTGATTCATAGGAATTAAGCTTCATGCTGTTGTAAATTTGGTGTTTCCATCATATTAGAGCATGAACATGTGAGTTATGGACCACAAAATGCAAGCTATGTCAACTTCAATGCAAGTTTGAAGCTCAAAATGGTTGCTGGAAAATTCAGAATTTGGCATGTCCGCTTGAGCGGGGAAAGCGCCGCTCAAGCGTGAAATGCGAGCTCCTAGAATTTTTGCAAACATTGATGTCCACTCGAGCGGGCACATTCACGCCCGAGCGGGGAGCCATGTAATGTGACTTTCAGCTCGAGCATCTGAATTCAAGCTCGAGCGTAAAAATGAGGTAACCAGTATTTTTGCAGACCATGAGGGTCCGCTCGAGCAGCGGAACCCACGCTCGAGCGGGGACCCCTGTTTTAGAAATTTTGTAAAGGTGTTCTGTGTTTCATTTTCCGTTCTCTTTCATTTCTAAGCACTCTTAGGCATGCATTGAGCATCATAAATGAGTTAAAAGGATAAGAAAGAAGCCTAAGAGGGATGTATGAATTTATAACGGATTGAATTGTTTGTGACCCATTGTGCTCATGAAATGTGTAGGGTCGAGTTCTAGGGCAAATCCGCCGGCAAAACACTGTGAGTAATATCTTAGTAGAGATATTTTGAAGTATGTTATTTGTCCAATTGCTTATTCCCATACAAGTCTTATAAGTTTGTTAATTTGAATTGTGGACAAATGTTTGTTATGCCATATGGTTGGGCCAAAGGCCGTTGGGTACAACTGATTGGGTCGAAGGCCGTTTGACATGCATGAATGCTGGGCCAAAGGCCGTTTGACATGAATGATTGGGCCAGAGGCCGTTTGATAAGAAAGATTGGGCCGAAGGCCGTTTGACATGAATGAATAAATGGGTCAAAGGCCGTTTGACATGAACGAATGGGCCAAAGGCCGTTTGACATGAATGAATGGGCCAAAGGCCGTTTGACACAAATGATTGGGCCAAAGGCCGTCGAACAGGAATGATTGGGCCAAAGGTCGTCGGATATGAATGAATTGGGCCCGAGGCCATTTGATGTGTTTGGAACCGCAGTTACTTGATCTATACGTATATGTATATATACTAGGTAGAAATATGAATTGGGCTCAAGGCCGTCTGATGTATATTGTTCTAAGTACCGTTCGTGTATCTTCTTTATTTGATATTATTCACTGGGCTTTTGCTCACACTCATTCATGTGTCTGTAGGTGAGCCAAGGGAGGTCCAAACCCAGCCTCAGTGAAGTTTGTGTGAAACAATCACGGTTTTGAAGAGTCAGCCCATACGTCTCACGCACGAGACTTATTTTCGCCCTTTTGCTATTTTGTTATATTTTGTCATGTTGGCGAGAACTTTGGATTATGGTTGTATATAGTTTTGATTGGCTGACCATGACTTGAATGATCCTGTTGTGTAAAGCTTATATGTTAACTTTCCTTGATGTGAGTTATTAGTGTATGTTTGTAAAATGTTATGACGTGCCATGTAAGCATAGCTCTATGGACAAAAGTTTGAAATTGCTTCCGTTTGGCCCCCTTAACTCTGTTAAAATATATTTAATTTGATTGAAGGCCATAGGCAATATCGTGATTACTGGTCGGTTATGTCCTTAACCCATGGGGGCGGGTTTAGGTCATGACACACACTCATGCAAGTATGCTAAGGCATTGAAAACTTACCTAGTACTCCAAGCTAAGATAAAACAAAAGAGTTAGAAAAATATGCATGATTCTTAACTATACAAGATGTCTAATGCAACATATGCAAAGAATGCAATTAATAGGCTCGGCTACTAATATGGTATATGATTCAATTAAATAACATGCGGTTTCAACACGTATCCAAAGAGTTATTGAAATGATAATGCAGTTTGAATGATGCGCTGAGCCTCGGTGTATACAAGATAAGATGAATGGATGCAAGCATAAGGTATGCTAATTGAAACATGTCCCTAATCTAACCATCGAAAGCGGATAAATAAAAGGAAAAAAGACATGGGGTTGGAAGACATACACATTATTACAACATTTTGCTCTCACGAAGGAGAGTCTGAATGAATAACTAAGCTAACTATCAACTAATTAAAGCTAAGCTAATTAAGCTAATTAAATAATTATTACATCACTTGAATGAACTAACTAATAAGCTCACAAATTAAGTTACAACACAAACGTAAGCACTAAGTAATTAAAGTCTTTAACTATGCTGCCACTACTCCGCTTCGGAAAATGGAAGATGCACATGCTCGGATACCACCCGAAAAGACCTTCATTTTGCTCTCGAAAGCCTCTGTTTGCGGAGTTGAACACTTCCAGAACCATTTTGCTCCACCTTGCCAACATTCTACTGAAGTATGCATCACTGGCCAACCGGCCACTGGTAAAGGTTGCTGGCCAGGTACCGGCCATGGAAGTGGCCTGCCGGCCATCTATGGTGCTCTATCGGCCACCTGCCGGCCGTGGATGGTAGCCTGCTGGCCACTGATGCACTAGATCACCATGCTGCAACAGAGTACAAACATAGCAAAAAGAGGGTATTTCCAAGGATTGTTTGCACAATTCACCCCTCCTTTTCATGAATAAATCCAAGGAGTTGTTAACTTAAGCCACAAACCACCAATCCAAGCAATTTCATTGCATGATGGCTTGTGATTCAAGATGTGCAAGCTCAATCAATGCAAAACAAGGCACTCAAGAACCATCACCCTATCATGCATGATCAAGGGCAATGGAGGCCTAGGAAACTTGAGACATTTCATCACTTTGAGTATGAAATGTCCCAATTTTCCTTATATTCAATTAACGTCCAATTGAGCACACAATACACAAGTTATTATCTTGCTCAATTTTAGTCCCAAGTTGTTAGTTACTCATTTTAACTTACCAACCATTCTTTAATCCAATTAAGTCCAAAGGGGTGAGTGAAGGTCCTCTAATGGAAAGAAGGCTCAAAACACAAGTTGCTTTAGGCATGAAAGAAGTCTCATACCATTAGTGATAAACACCCTAAGGGATTAAACCATTAAGTATGAAACCTTAATTTCACACTTAAGCAAACAAATGACTTGAAGCCACTTTCAAAGCAAAATTAAAAGCCAATAAAGGAGAGAGGTTGCAGAGATGATTAATGTTGAAATTAAGTGTGGAAAGCACCAAAAACATGCAATCAACTCAAACAAGTGGTGTCTAAAGGCTTAAAACACCAAGCTTGTGAGAACTATTACACTACAACCATGCAAAACAAGACTTAACTGACCCAAAAAGCCCAAATAAAAGCTAAAGCAGTCTAAAACAAAGGCAAAAACATGCTGGAATATAGCTACAAAAAGCTAGAAAATCATGCTAACATATAGAATTAATTGGGCTAGCAAACAAGAC